GGTGTGGGTGTGGGTGTGTGGATGTGAGTGTGGGTGTGTGGATGTGAGTGTGGGTGCGGGTGAGGGTGTGAATGTGGGTGTGGGTATGGGTGAGTGTGGGGTGTGAGGGTGAGTGTGAGGGGGGGGGGGTGTGTGAGTGTGAGTGTGGGGTGTGGATGGGTGTGAGTGTTCATTTTTTCCTCATTCACACCCCATACCCACACCCACACCCAACTGGTTTCATTAGAGCCGATATCCAAAACGCATAAATTGGCTTATAATCATTGAGTTATTTATTAGAAATTATTTAGCATTAACGTTAATCGTTCAATTGATAATCGAAAATCAAAAATCCTATAAAAGGCATTTCTAGAAGTACTACAATAATGAAAGTTCTTCATTACTTGAATTTTTTACGAACGAAAATTTCTTGGTTAACATAACTCAGAAAGAGAGATGTTCACAAAAAATTTCCATGTAATTGGTTGCACCTTTTGTCAAATATCCTCATCTTAATTGAGTAGATATGAGAGATAAACAGAAAATGTGAATCCCGGTGTTCTATTCTGCTACCTACAAGCACAGAGTAACTCATCTTTCTGCATGTTTGTTGATATTTGTAATAGGATGTATCTATAGAGGAGGTAGAACCGCGAAAAATCGAACTTGAAACTTATACTTACTATTTTCTTCGAAAATATGCGTGAATTCCATAATAAATAAAAATGAAAAGATTATGGGCAGAATTCAATTGCTTTTCATAATAAATGACTTGAGATTGATTAGTTAATTTTAATAGAGATCAACACAACTGAAACAACACAATCAATAATGTCTGAGACAGGATATATTAAAGATAAAACTTGTTGAGATTTTCAATGACTATTAAACTGACGTTAGACCATTTATGAATCATCTCGTTTCGAAGAAATATTGCTCCTAAAAATATCAACAACTAAACTTCGAAACTTATTAATATTAATTTTGTTTTTCAGAACTATTAAACCAATTTTTATTTGTCTATGAATATGTCTATCGTTGAATTTTTCGAAATCTTTCGATTTGACATTTTTTTACATATTCAGTTTTATATGTAGTATAATATCTTGCAAAATATCTATTAAAAACAAATTCTTTTACATAATATTTATTATATATTTGATATCCTCAGTCAGTATCATGGTTTTATTTTTTTCCTCTTTGTTAATCGTACTCGTTCATCTTTATGCATTATTATACAAAGAAGCAAGCGGCTTTTTTTCTTTCATTCAATACGACGTAATACACACGTTATCTACTAGCATAACCCATACAATACGTGCAGATCATTATTGTTATTTTTTTTCTCTATTTAGTGACAAAAGAAGAACATCGTACCGAATTTTTAGATAAAATGATTTTTAATTTGTCAAGTCTTACTTTCAGATCATTTTTTTGTTCTTTTCATACTATGGCTTCAGCCGTGTCAGTTCAAACACCAAATGCTGCGCAAAATCTTGAAAAAAATGAACTTTATTCAATTGGTCCCAATTTTTGGAATGTTCGTGGTCGTTTTAAAATTTTAAAACTAATTGATATTGGAACACAAATGTCAATAATAAGACTACGTAATGGAAAATTTATTATTCTTGATACAGTTGAAATGAATGATCATCTTCGACAACAAATTGATCATTTAACAAATTATGGAAAAAATATAAAAGCTGTTATCGGTACACATCCATTTCATACAGTATCATTTCCAGCTTTTTATCAACTATATCCAAACGCAGCTTACTACGGAACACCAAGACATCTACGTCGATTAACAGAAATTCCATGGCGAGGTGATCTTACTGACTGTAATGTTAGAAAAAAATGGGAACCTGAAGTTGAAATGCGTATTCCAGCAGGTTTGTATTAAAACAGAAATTATTCTTCGAACGAAATAAATTATCATTTTAATTGTAGGAGCAGAATTTGTTAATCCACAACCTGAATCAAGAAATCATTTTATAAGTGTTTTTGTTTATCATCGAGCATCTCGTACTCTTCATGTTGATGATACAATAATGTATACTGAAAAACCTGGTTTTTTACTTAAATTATTTGGTTATAACAATGGTATGATGGCATTTCATCCATCAATTAAAAGTTCTGGTCTTTATCCAACAAGTTATGCACCATATTTATTTCGTGATTGGATGCGTAAAATGCTACATGATTGGCATTTTGAAAACATTTGTTGTGCACATTTGGATCTTAAAATGGGTGAGGCATATGCTGATGTTACTACATTACTTAACAATGCCGAGCCTTTATTTGCTAAAATTAGTGAGAAAAATCGAAGAAAGAATCCTGGAGATGAAATACCATTTGGTAATTATCCAAATATCAATGTTAGTGATAATGAATGTGGATAATTATACGTTTTTCTACTTTGCATTTTAACACAACCTACTATACCTATATGTTATGTTTATTTTGATGATGCTAAACATTTTTTTATTTTGCGTATCTTTGATATTTATATTTGACACAGAAGAATTGACGCAGTACTTGTTAAAGAAAATGGTAATTACTAATAAAGAAAGCCTTCTAAATATTAAGTGTGATCATGGTCACGACCATGACCATGATCAGTTTTTTTTGTCAAGTTCATAACCATGACCTTGATGAGAACTTCGTTAAGTTTTACTGAAATCATCGTATATCCTATAGTTAAATATATTAACTACATTAGATTTTCCTAATATAAGGCATTTTTTATTCTTTACTTATTCTGATGAATAACTTTAGATGAAGATCATAACAATGACAAAACATTTAAAAAAACGACTTTTTTTCTTTATCAATAATAACTTACTCTTTTTCGTGTTTTGGTCTTTGTTGAACTATTATTAATTTTAGATATGCAATCCTTTGTATTTTGCTTCGAGATTATAATCGAGATATGTTTCTCGGTGATTAACTGTATTAAACATTCATTTTCACAGAGTTTTAAAAACTTGAGTTTAGGTATTTCTTATTCATTTTATATGACAAATAAAACAAAGTATCTTATAAAAAATAATCTTTGTGTTGCAAATACTTTTTTCCCATGATAGACGCATAATTACAATAATAACTTGGGATAATTCTGTACTTTTTTTTTGAATTGATAATATTATTCATTAGTGAAAATCCTATGAATATGAGCAGTAGACTAATATGTATACTGTTAATCGAAAATCAGAAGCAGAATTCTTATTGTTGTTGAAATATATCATTTTTATGATTTTATTAAATCAAAACTTTAGTCTATGTCGAGAAAACTGAGAACATTCAGTTTTTTCTAATTTTTGATTCTAGACTTATTTCTATAGAAGAATGCATTTATCATACAATTCTGTCTTTTACACTGTTCATACACATTAATAGACTTCATGATTTTGCTTTAGGAAATTAGAAAATCAAAAGATATAAAATCTTAAGAATAAACTATTGTTATTCAGACTCATCTGTTTGCAAGGTTTCAAGTGAAAATGTGAATACAATTTTTTCTTATATTTCTGAGAAAGACCGTTGTATTAATTAGAAAAATAACGTAAACATGCTGCATCTCCATAGTAGTAAGTTAAATGCACATAGTTCCAACTTAAAAATATAATTAGTATATTAACTTAAACTTTGGTGAAACATTTCTCGCATAGAGACTGTATCTGTTCGAACAATATATATAAAGATTTTTTTCTTGTGAAATTGGGTTTTAAAGATATTTACAAGATCTTCTATGAACAAAAAAAGTTGTTCATACGTTACATTACTTATTGTTTCAATTGAAATTGAAATGGGAGACTTTAATACTTGAGGTCACGTAATAAGATAAATTTTTCTCAGCAGTTCATTATATTGATGAAGATAAGGATTTAACTACTAGAATATGCACAATATTGAAAATATTTTCAAGATTTCTCACGAAATTATATTTGAAACATTAATTAAATTCTATGTAATTCTAACTTGAAAAATAAGCGAAAGGTAAATATATTTATCACAAAATCACTATCATACGATGTACTATATAACCACAAAATACGAAAAATGAATTAACTATGTTCAAATAACTTTTCAAACAATCAAATTACAGAACACATCGACACCTAATAATAGAATATATACGAGATTGCTGTTGATAAAACTATGAAAACATTCTAAAATAAAACACTGAAATAGGCAAAGAACATGCATGACAAGTATTTTCTCATACCTTAGCAAATTACCGAAAAATCAAAAACTTTGTAGTGAAATCTTCTGGGATAATTTTATCATAGCCACTGTCCTAAGAGTAGAACTTGATTAAAGTAAACGTAATAAATTTTGTTCTTTGTATTTATTAGATGATAGTCTTAGTAGTATATACTGGTTTTTCTTGCTATCTCTTTGCTATGATATATTCTGTCGGTTCGAAAATAAAATGAAGAAAAGTCGAGCATCTGACCTCTAATAACTACGTTTTAAATGATGAATTTACATATATATCTAGCAGTTTCATTTCTCATATTATTTCATGCCTCTTACAAAAGGAACATAGGATCAAAGAAACAAGATTTGTTAAAAATAAAAAATGCTGGGTGAATAGTTACGAGAAACAACCCATGTAAAAAATTTTACCCAAAAAAGTGACTATTAAGTACTTTCAATAGTAGGTTTTAAGCAGGAAAAAGTACTTATAAGTGAACCTTTTTAAGTACTTTTCATACTTTTTGACTAAAAGTACTATTAAGTACTTTTGAAAGTAGGAAAGGTATGAGAAAGTACTATAGAAAGTGGAAAAATTATCAAAAAGTACTATAAAAAGTGAAAAATAGTAAGAAAAGTTACTTTATTTTACTTTATTACTATTAAAAGTGATAAAAAGTTACTTTTGGTTCACTTTTCTTTTACATGGGAACCGACAAATAGTATGCACAATTACAATCTCTCTTTTATAATTAGATGATTGAAATTTATGTATGTCATTGAATAATAGAGCTTGATATAATAAATCATTCAGTTTTATTTGAAAAAAATTTGTATATTGTGTGTGTTTCTTATTAACTTAGATAAATATCATCACTCTTTTACTATTTGATGTGTAGATGAGAACATCGTATTTTTATTTTCTTAATGGAATGAGGTGTCGAACAAAATACAAGATTTGCGGATGTTTGCTTTCTGATGTACAGTCACATGTTCATATGTTTTCATGAGGATTTTAAATAAATATTTCATTTAATGTGATTTCATGTTAGCTACTCAAGTGTTTATCAATCAAATGATGCACACATCATTACAGATCTTCTAATCGTAGCTCACATATGATACCAATACATTTATCAAAATTTTCACAGATCATCTCGATTTGCACCTGATTAGATTATCAGTGTGTTCTCTTTTTGACCATGAATAATAAAATCACTTCATTTTATTTCAAAGTTATCGACTTATTTAAAAAGTAATTAAGTGAATGATATTTTTTGAAATAAGCAAAAATATCAATATTAAATGATGTTTTTTTTAGTTTCTATTGAATATTTGAAAACTTTTATTTTTTCTATTGGTATTGTCTCATGTTTCTTGTGTGTTTGCTTAGGCTTGCGGACTAATAGTTCGATACTAGACGTTATGATCTGAGACGAAAATGCAATCTATATACCATTCGAACGAAAATTGGAACTATATATTGGGGTACTACTAAAAGTACACGAAATACATTTAAGAACATAGTCAATGCGTAAACAACATCCAAATACTGTTGATTCACATAACTGCAATATATTGATGCACATGCATTTTAATATTTCTCGTAGGACGTTACATTGAACCAAAAATGAATGAATACTCAATTGACAATAGTTTCAATAATATCATTAATGTTACAGTTAGATATTGATGAAGAAAACTAATGGTGAAATATTAATTATTCGTTGAGAGTAATCTAAAATTGAACTTCCAAGAGCAGTTCCATTCATAAGACCTATCATGCAAGAATTTGAGAAAAAAATATGAAAGGAACGAATGAAAAATTTATTCAAGTAAGAAGTACTCAGCGAAAATATTGTCAATAGTATATAATTTGTGGAGACTATAATTGTAAAAACTTGTTGACTCAATGTATTTACTTAAAGTAGCACATGAGATGACACGTGGCATTGAGAGAAATAATAAATTCTTCGTATGACATGGTTATGTTAGACCAGAGACATCGTAGAGTATCATAGTAAATATTATGTAGATTTGTCTAAGTTGATAGAGAAGAAGTTGGAACTGTTATGTTCGACGATCGTTCAACTAGTCCAACGTAGAAGAAGAACAGAATTGTGATACCAATCAAAAGAATGAGATAAAGCTATGTCGATACAATTTCTTGTCTTCAAACAGAATTTATGTTAGAATCTATTTCAAAGAGGTTGAATGTAACTATATATTCTCGAGTTCGATTGATGTACGTATTTTGAAATTACAAATGAAATATAACTACCCCAGAAAACTAAAGGAAGTTTCATAAATTGTTAAATGAAATAGTACTTTCGTATAAGTAAGACAGAAAAGCAAAACTTTTTTAAGATCGTGAATGAGGAAAGATTTTTCTTTACAGTACCTGGTTATTTCGATACAGGTTTCAAACATAGCTATTCACACTAATACTGCTAACTTAGTTTATGAAGAAGAGAAAGATTAAGTTCCCAAAACTATGCTCTCTATCCATACATATATGAATATAATTATATAGACCTTCTCTACTATTGTTTTAGAAATAGATTTTGCTTTTTGTTGCTATTATATATATTTATACGTATCTGATATGAGTGAAAATCACAATATAAAAACACAGATGGATAAATCGAGACTCTTCCGGATCGTATCTAGGAGTCGCACCATAATAGTGAAAAAAGATTGTGTTATGCCAGAAAAAGCATCCCTTCCAAGAGTCTTGAATCTCAAACTTGGATTATGTTGAAACTTGAAGTGTTCAGAAGCAATCAGATAGAATGTTGCATACATGATTAGTTGACCTATTTCAGTTTCCATTAAATAAATTTGAGTTTCTAATCATACATACTTTATCTCGATCACTCCTAATGCGTTCTATACTATCATGAAAAAAAACGTAAAGAAATTTCCAGAAATTCAAACACTTTTTCTGGAAATTTGAATAATCATAATACGACAAGCATCATTCAAGAGGCTACAGACATCATCAAGTATCCTACGTGGGCTAGAAAGGATATTAGAAGAGTGTTCAACAATACCACAAATATTCTCTGCGATTTTGCAAACATCACTTAAAATGCTACTGTCATTGCCTAGAAAGCTTTAAATTTTGGTTGAGATACTTCGGCAATTATCTGGGATGCTACGACTCGTATATAGATAGTTTCAGCGATTATGCAGCATTGAG